GTTACAAAAGAGAAGAATCTGAGGCGTGTGGGGGGCAGTTTAACATGCAGGGAGCTGAAGCACAGCCTGGCCACAGCAAAAGCCATCAGCAGGTCTGTTGAGCCCCTGATGCCTGTGTCCTCAGGCCCCATTGGACAGTGGGCATTTTCATGCCAGCGGGGCCCAGGATGGTGAGTGGGGAGTGGGGACACCCTCAGTTCCCTGCCTGAGCCCTGGGTGCTTGGATGAAGGAGAGAGGAGAGACAGGATTCATACAGCTGGGGGTCTGGGAGGGGAGAGGGTCACAGGAGACTCCACATCACAGATGCTGTCAGGGTGGCAGAACTGAGGGGAGAGGGGCTCAGGGCAGAAAGCAGAGGAGAGGCAGCAGGTGGAGGGTTACCTTGGTGGGAGAGCCCCTGCCAGCCATAGGGGGCTTTGTGCCGGCTCAGGCTGTCCCAGAGCTCTGAGGTAAAGAGGCCGCCCCACAGCAGCACTGGTGTGGACAGATCAAACAGGCTCCGGAAGCGGCGGTGCTGCCTGACGGCCAGGGAAAGAGGGCGTTGGCAGAGCTGGCTCTGTGAGTGAGAAGACAAGAGGGCTGAGCCCTGGGGGGACCCAGGGGGGCGGGAGACTCCCAGGAGCCCACAGACCCCACAGGAGGGCTGAGCTGCCCTCCCTGCTCCAGACCGGGGGGCGCCCCTGCATCTGCTAGCTGAGATGTCTGGTGGCCCAGCAGCCTGAGGGGGTTGGAGAGCCTCTGGATCCAGTCTGTGCAGCCCCTCCTCCTCCTCCAGATGCCACCTGTCCATGCTCACTGGGCCTGGCATCATACTCCTTCCCCTCACACATGGTCAGACTTTAGGCACCTTCCAGCGAACGGGTGTGACCATCCCCGGGCACCTGGGCTTTGGCATCTACCAGCCTGGATCGAGATCTTAGCTCTGAAAGTTGTCCCTGTAAATTCATGTGTCCCTGTAAATTCATATGTACCCCTGTAAATTCATGTATGTAATCTCAGCACTCAGGAGGCTGTAGGGTATCTCTAGAGCCAAACTTCTTTCTTCCTATTGGTATCTATATTGAATCCACTGAGTGCTCCCCAACCCCCAATACTCAGGTTCGTGTAGAACCTTAGGATGTGACCTTGTTTGCAGATCTAGTTAAGATGAGATTGAGCTGGGTGTGGTGGCGCATGTCTGTAATCCTAGCATGCAGGAGGCTGAGGCAGAGGATCATAATGAGTTTGAGACCAGCCTGGGCTACAAAGAGAACTCAAGGCTGGCCTGAGCTGCACAGCAAGACCCTTTCTCAAAAAGACCAAAAAAACCAAAAACCAAAAAACACCCATACACTAAAAAAGGAGGCCACTTGAAGACAGACCTCGGGATTTTGGAGGTACAGACTATAATTTTGCAGTACAAACAGAGGGACTCCAGGAACCACACGACACTGGGAGGCCAGGGGGCTTCCTTAGAGTCCTCAGGGTGAGCATGACACTGCCAACACCTTTGGGGCTTCTGGCCTCCAGAACTGTTGGAGAACCACCAGTTACTTTAAGCCTCTCAGTGTCTGCGATCTGGCAATCTCCATGCTTCCCCACAATATTGGACTCTCACTCAGCCTTGGCCTCAAGAGGGCTACTGTTACTACTGAACAGGGCTTTTTGTTAAGTGTTGGTTTGGTCAAAGGACAGAGCAGGAAATGGCTGTAAGGTCATTTCTGTTGTAATGCAGCACAAGAATGCCTACAGTCCACCGTATGCCTCAAAATTGTACAATCAAAACCACAGGGCTTATGGGTAGACGGGTGAGCAGCAGAATACTCAGAAACACTGTCTGTGATGTGTACACCTAAAGATAAGGATTCAAGACAGACAGAAACATGTTGCATGGTTAAGAAACACGGAAATACCACCCAAAATATAGCACTTTTTCTTGAAAAGACTTGAGATTCGCTTGTGGAAGGGGCTGCCAGAAGGGCAGCAGCTTGTGAGTTCTTGTGAAATCATCTGCAGGTTTTGCTAAAGGATAAGGGAAGCAGCAACAGCAGATGCAGCTGGGTGAGCTCACTGCACATGTAGTGAAGCTGACAGTGTCTCAAGGGCTGTGCATGTGTGCTTTTTGTGTATTCCCCCCAGGCTCTGCTGAGTTGGTGTGTGTTCTCTTTATTTTTGCCTTTTTTGAGGCAAAACTGCAGGGTCTCGCTCTGCAGTTCAGGCTGACCCTGAACTCACTTTGTAGCCCAGGCTGGTCTTGAACTCAGAACAATCCTCTTGCCTCAGCCTCCCGAGTGCTGGGATTACAGGCCTGCACCACCACGCTTGTCCTGGTGTGTGTTCTCACAAACAAAATCACTCAGAAGCAAATTCAAAACTTATATGATGCTCAAATTGTTGCTAATGTATCAAACTCATTGGAATAAAGTCATGTTTTCAAAGCAGGCATTATAGCAGGATGGACTACAAGGATTTCACCCATTTATCACAGGGGTGCTTTGAGGGGCCCACTACCTGAGCTTCCAGGAGAAACATCTTCAGGTTTCTAAATCAGGAAAGGCTTTTAGCTGAGTAGCAAGGTTTCTTTGTTAGCCCTGGCCACCAAGCTCAGAGCCAGATGTGTGGCCTGTCTCTTCCATCCTATGGCATACTTTGCATGCACTTTGCTAATACTGTCTTATTTTCCTACCTTTTCTTTTCTGATTTTCCTCATTGTACTTTATCTTGCTTTTGCTTTATGTATGGGACATGACTACAGCCATCTTAAATCATAAGTGCCATGATTGCCCCAAAATAACCCTTACTGGTTTTTCCTGCATAGTTTCCAGCAAAATATAAATAGATAAGACTGTGAAAGTTACATGTAGAGCTTTACAACTAGACACGGACCCCAGGGATGCACTGGATTCTTCGACATTAGGATAAACCAGATACATTTCAGCTAGGATGAAGTCACTTTTGTCATATCCTACAGGTACACCCCTCTTTCTGCCCCAAATAGAGGGGATCCAACTGGCTTTCCTGCCACCACCCACGGCCATGGTTTAATCAGAAAGTTCCTCAATAAAACCTGCCTCTCTTTTTTGGTCTCACACACCTTGCGGCCAGCCCTCATACATGAGGACCAAGCTGTCCTGGAATACTTCATTATATGTGTCCAAAAGCCAACTTAAGCCCTTTGTTTCAAACCAGGCAGAGGTATATGTCAGCATCAAGTAGCTTCAGATAGAGAAGACTTAGGAAACTTAAAGACAACCTGGTGCAAACACTCTTAAGATGCTTGAGGCCTCTCTTCAGCCTACTGGCCAAGTGTCCACTCTCTTCTTCTTGACACAGGTCCCCCAGCAGTGCCAGGCTCCTGACCCCATTTCTGAACATCTTGACTGTCACTGAGCTTTTGGATGCAATGAGGTCTTTCTCCCTGAGGCCCTAGTCACTGTGTCCCGGCTCAGTCTCGTGGACATTGTAAACAACTTAAACCCACACTAATCCAGAATGACATAGTCATTGTACAGCTCAATTGCAGCATAGAGCCAGGGTGGCAGGGAAGGCTATGGCCCACCCGGTACACAGCAGGTTCTGTGATCAGAGCAGGGCTCATATCCCTGACTATCCGAGTGAGCCTAGCTTTTATTCTTTATTTATTCTTTTTTTTTTTTTTTTGAGACAGGGTCTCACTGTGTAGTTCAGGCTGGCCTTGAGTTTACTATACAGCCCAGGCTGGCCTCAAACTCACAATGATCTTTCTGCCCCAGCCTCCCAAGTATTGGGATTGCAGGCGTGTGCCACCACACCCAGCATGAGTGAGCCTAACTTCTCTGTGCCTCTGTTTGCTGATTTGGAAGGGCTCTCTCCTCAGATGCTGTGTGATTTGAGTGAGAGAACAGGTAAAGGGCCAGGCAGTGCCTTGGTGCCTGCGGTCAACAGGGGCTATTGCGCAGGGTTTTGGACCAGGCCTCAAGGTTCTCAGGCCCTGAGCAGACATGGAGCATCTTCCCAGCACTTGGAGTTTACACTGCAGTGAACAGTTCACATGGGACTTAGAGTAAGGAAATATTTATTTTTTCTCTCTCTCTTTTTTTTTTTTTTTTTTTTTTTTTTTTTTTCTCTTTTTTTTTTTTTTTTGGTCTTTTTGACACAGGGTATCACTATGCAGTTCAGGCTGGTCTTGAGCTCACTTTGTAGCCAAGGCTGGTCTCGATCTCACAGTGATCCTCCTGCCTCAGCCTCCTGAGTGCTGGGATTACAGGTGTGCGCCATCATGCCCAGCAACTAAGGAAATATTTAGAAGAGGAAAACATAAAATCCACCTGCCCTTTTAAGATAATATCTTGACTCCTAAGAACTTTTCAATAGTGACACCACATGAGTACATATTTATTCATCCTTTTCTGCTACTGGGGTACAGGAAACCCTAGTGGTCAGGCCTAGGATGCCCGGAGAGGATGAATGCTGGTGGAGTTCCAGGGCCCAGCAATCTCATGAAAATGTTCTCTAGGCTTCCGGCGCACAGGGAGCTGTGGGTGGGGAG